ATTATGTGTGTTGCTGTCACTATTAGAGATTATTCCTAACTTATTGGATAAGTGTGCCTCCAATTGAGGAATCTATAGATCCACAGCAAAATGAAATTCTTCATAACACGATGGCAGTGACTAGTGTATTAATTTTTTCTTACGTTGTCTGTCAAGAAGAGGTTAACGTACATGCTAAAATTTGCCGAATCGAAATGTTTTAGAATCTCTTATCGTTAAATCTGAGTTTAAATAATAAAGTTTAAACGAAACACCATTGAGCCTTTGGCAATCGCTGATATACAGATTTCGAATATTCAATCTCATTTAATATGCAATAACGTTTTTTGAACGACAACTATTGGGGCTAGTTAGATACAGAAATGGTAAGGCATATGCTTGCATTTGTTACACATAAGTACCCCGTATAAAAATAGACACAGTCCACTATGTCTGCTAACTTATTCACATCTTCTGAAAATCGGTCAGACATTTGTTTGACAAGTCAAATGATTATCATTTGTTATCTTAAAGTATGTTACCAATTCTTCATAAGGTCTACTTTTTTGTGCTTACCGTCTCGTTCTTAGCTACTTTTTGTTTTCAGTTCCCCCAAAAAGATGCATGTAGTGCTACCTTTCACCGCCGCCGATCAACGCAAGTGTGTTTGCAGATCTCAGTTATACGTTTTTAATATTAAGGCAGTACGGATTTAACCTTCGTTAATAGTTAGAAGCACCTCATATAATGATAAGCGCGCGCGTTAGAGTAGACTCGTTTTATTCAATGGACAATAAAAAGTTTGACATTATCTATGTGGTCGTTCATTGTATCAGCGTCTTCTGGTCCTGGATGACAGTAAATTGTTAACACAACGGCTATGAGCAATAAATGACCATTCTTCCGAGCAGGCAAATTGTAATAATTGTCAATAAGTTAATCAAGTTGACCCTCTTGGGTTAAAGACTTTTCGACACTTTTATAACCTTTGACTATAATTATTAAATATTTATCCGTAGCGAACTCCAACGTCTGTGAAGCATTCTTCCTGTGGTTCAATTAGGTAAGGCCAGAAAGACTATACGTTGAAGTACAAAACAAAACACGATATGTAAAATTATATACAGCTTATGGTACACGAAGACGCGAGCTATACTTTGTGTCGATAACATACTTTGGGTTTGCGAGAGCAACAGAGTAGACAATGTCCGCTGCGATCATTGTCTTTTGTGCAACCGGAAATTTATATATTAAACTCCTATTATGTACCCCCCTTAATATTAAACATTCTCCCACACTATTTTAGATCAAACGATAAAGCGAACGCCCATGTAATTATTTATCAACATTGAAAGATGATAACAAAAAACAGTCCAGAAAAGACGATATTCTTAAAAGACTATGCAGGACGATATGGTTACGATGGAAAAATAGACCGAATACGAGATGAAGAATATCCACAGTTAGCAAGTATGTATGAATGAAGATATTGTGTTACCATGTTTAAAGCTTGACTTGATCCAACAAATTGATACTCCCCCAACAAAAGATACAATCTATCTGGATCATGCAGGCACAACCGCTTATGCGCAGAGTACGTTTCCAGCTTGTGCCATTGACCTCACTTCTAATCTTTATGGCAATCCGCATAGCAAATCACCAAGTTCCAATCTGACAGCACAAAAGCTAGAATCAGTCCGCACTCTAATTCTTAATCACTTCAACACTACTCCTGGAGATTATCAAGTAATATTCACGCAAAACGCAACCGCCGCAATCAAACTAGTGGGAGAATGTTTTCCATGGACAAGAAAAAAAAGCTGGTTAAAATACTTAAGGGAAAGTCATACCAGCGTCATTGGATTGAGAGCATTTGCTAAAGAGAATAAAGTCGAATTTAGCACGGTTAATGAAGATGATATCAAGGATATGGTTAGAAAGAGGAATAATGATCGGACAAACAGTCTATGTGAAGATGGTCAAGTTGTCTATAATCTTTTTGTTTACCCGGCTCAGTGCAATTTTTCAGGGATGAGATTTCCATTAAGTTGGACACAGGGAATCAAGGAAAGATTCAAGAGCGATTCGTCTAGAGTATTAGTCTTGTTAGATGCAGCATCATATGTAATGACTTCACAGCTATCATTAAAAAATACTGAGACGTCCCCAGATTTTGTAAGTATAAGCTTTTATAAGATGTTTGGATATCCAACTGGACTTGGCGCTTTGTTGGTAAAAAGCGAGTTGGCACCGATACTAAGGAAAAGATATTTTGGTGGTGGAACAGGTGAATATACACATGCCCATATTTTTATACGATTATAGTACTAACCTTGGATGACGTCTAATGTGCCATGTTGATTTAGTTTCGGCCGTTCTTTATGACACTGATTACCAGCAATTCAGACCATCGTTATCAGAAAGTTTTGAAGATGGAACTACAAACTTTTTGAATATTATTGCGCTTTCTCATGCATTTTCCACATTTATGGGCCTTTTCACTTCATTTGATCAAGTTACCTTGCACACGTCATCTCTGATTTCATATCTTTATACTCGGATGTCTTCATTGAAGCACTATAATGGAAAGCCTGTTTGTAAGATTTTTAGCTCTAGAGATTTTAGAAATCCAGTAGAGCAGGGACCTGTGTTGAATTTTAATCTCAAAAAAGCTGATGAATCATGGGTAGGGTTTTCAGAAGTAGCAAGGTTGGCAGGTATGCATAATATACACTTGAGAGTAGGAGGGCTGTGTAATCCTGGTAATGTTACCAGGTGGTTTAACGTTAGTCAAAAAGAGTTGATGATGGCTTTTCAGGTAAGAGTGAATATATAGATGACATGAAATTATTATTGATGCTTAATTACATCCTCTATTATAGTCGGGAAAAGTGTGCGGAGATGATCGAGATGTAATCAATGGGAAACCAATTGGATCAGTCCGCGTTTCTCTGGGAGCCATGTCAACCATTGATGATGTGCTAGGCTTGATTGACTTTGTTAGAGAATATTTTGTCGAAACGAGTCCTCCTGTGGAGAGGTTTAGGACTAAACACCTGTCTAAAAACATGCATCTGAGTTCAGTTACAATTTGCAAGTATACTAATGCCAATCTACTAATTGAGTTTATATAGTCGAGTTTGCAAATTTCCGCGTTCGTTCATCGTGTGAGATTCTTTCACTCTAACGAGAATATTTATTATATGTATAATGAAAACAGATCCAATAAAATCATGTAAAGGGTTTTCGACCGATCAACCGTGGCCAATTTCTCAACAAGGCTTGTTATACGATAGAGAATGGATGTTGATTGATGCTCAATCAGGAAGAGCGTTGAGGCAAACACAGTAAGTATATCTTTATGGCTGCATGAATGTTAATTACAACTACTTATTGTTCAATTGTAGATATCCCCGAATGGCTTTAATCAGTCCAGTGATCGACTTGATTAATAACGTCTTGGTTATCAGTGCACCTGGACTACCTTCTCTTACAATGCGACTAAATGAACTATCCGATTTTGAATTAGAATTGCGGGAATCAAGAATCTGCGGCGACAAGTAAGTCATAATCTATTGATGAGTAATGCAAATGTTTATATAAATTGTAACGGCTCGGCTTATGCGTTTCTCGTATGTAATCCCAGAATTAATTCGCTAGAATACACTTCGCTCGAAATAACGTCGTTTTTCTCTAAATTCTTGAACGTCTCTTGTTATCTTGCATGTCAATCCTCTTTTTCACAACGTTTTATCAAAGAAAACCTGAGCTTAACAGCAGACGCCCCGTTGTCGCTATCAAACGAAAGCCCTTTTCTGCTGGTTTCGCAAAAAAGCTTTGATTATTTAAAGAGTCAGATCGGATCTGAGAAAGATCGAGAGGTAGATTTGAGGTCGTTTAGAGGAAACTTTGTTATAGAGGGAGCGGAAAAGGCGTATGAAGAAGATGATTGGAAACTTTTAAGGATTGGTGAGCAGTTCTTTGAGGTATGTTATTGAAATTTGCAAAGTGCTTGTTGAAATGTGCTTTGGATGAGAATCGAAAATTTTGTGATGACTTTTTACTTGAGCGCGATTTTAATAGACATTTAATTTACTATTACTAGATTCTTGGTCCTTGCACTCGTTGCCAAATGATATGTATCAATCAAGATACTGGTGAGCGTACCCGCGATCTTTATTCAAGTTTGGTGAAATGGCGATCTACAAATGTAAGTATTGATGGAGAGGACAAATTGGTTTTTCCGTTAGATTATTGACGATATTGTATACAGGGTAAAATCAAATTTGGCCAACATA